GTTTTGTGGCTGATTGGCATCCAGGGAGCAGAGAGTCCTGTAAGTGCTCAGGACTCATTCAGACCAGAAGTGTTAGGGGTGTAACACCAGCCACAGAGAAGGAGATGAAGTACTGCCTCCACCTTTTTGTATGTATGAAAAATGCATTTTACATGTACTCTGAGTGTTTTTATAGATGAGATGTTTCCATATCAGAGTGGTGAACTTGGATTTCTTCTAAATCTGTCCATGTAATAGTTGTATCACAGTTGTGCTATGGAATGGTGTTTCCTGAAGAAAGCCAAAGCTGTTTTTTAGCATGGTTTTTAGGATGATACTGGCCAGGGAAGAGCACATCTGTTCTTCAAGACCATGAAGAAAGACATTGAAAAAGGGAACGGGATCACCTTGATACCAGCATTCTGAGTTGTCACAGTGCCCAAGGCCTCAGCAGAGCTCCTGACATTCCCAAGGGAGCAAGGTCATCTTGAAAGCACAATTGCATTTCTCTGGCGTTGTTTATGTTAATATCCTGAGAATGACTTGCGTATTTCAACCTTACGATGAGTTAATAATTAATTAAGATCTTACAAAACTGAAGACAGAAACCAGCAGTCTAGAAAAATAAAGAAATAATCTTTTAAAGTGTATGTTTAGAAAAAGTTGTGTAGATTAATTTTCTTGGGTAGCTTGGGTAAAGGGAAAAAGGAAAGAGCAGAAACATTTCAATGTGGCAGAGTTCATCTCATTTGGAAAACTGCTTTTTGTGAAGGTCATGCCTCATGTTTAAACTATAAAGGGCTGGGTTTTGCTGGTAGTTTTTTTCTCATCCAAGTGAATTATTGAATCATTAAGGCAGGAAAATACCTTTGAAATAATTGAATCCTGCTAACCTAGCACTGTCATGATCCCTAGTAAACCATGTCCCCAGGTGCCACATCCATATGCTCTGTTAACACTACCAGGGAATGCTGATTCCACCACTTCCTTGGGCAGCCTTTCCAATGCCTGACCACCCTTTCAGTGAAGAAGTTTTTCCTAATATCCAATCTAAATCTCACCTGGCACATCTTCAGGCCATTTCCCCTTGCCCTGTCACTTGTTACTTGGGAGAAGAGAACAACCCCCACCTGGTTTCAATCTCCTTTCAGGCAGTTGTAGAGTGATCAGGTCTCCTGTGAGCCTCCTTTTCTCCAGGTGCTTCTCACTGGGAGCACCCCCAGCTCCCTCAGCTGCTCCCCACAAGCCTTGTGCTCCAGACCCTTCCCCAGCTCTGTTGCCCTTCTCTGGACTCCCTCCAGCCACCCCTCAATGTCCTTCCTGTGGTGAGGGGTCCAGAACTGGACAGGATTTAAGATGTGTCGGTGTTGGGTATTGGGGGAACAATCACTGCCCTGGTCCTGCTGGCCCCACTATTTCTGACACTGGCCAGGATGCCATTGGCCTCCTTGGCCACCTGGGCACACTCTGGCTCATGTTCAGCAGCTCTCAGCCAGCACTCCCAGCTCCTTTTCCACTGAGCCACATTCCAGCCACTCTGCCCCAGCCTGTAGCACTGTCTGGGGTTGTTGTGACCCAAGTGCAGGACCTGGCAGGGAGCCTTGTTGATCTTCATAGCGTTGGCCTTGGCCCATTGATCCAGCCTGTGCAGGTCCTTCTGCAGAGCCTTTGGCCCTCCAGCAGATCAACACTCCCACCTGACTTGGTGTCATCTGTGAACTGACTGATGGGCACTCAGTCTCTTTGCTCAGGTCATCAACAGACATTTAGCAGGACTTGCCCCAGTACTGAGCCCCAGAGAGCACTGCTCTTGGCTGGCTGTCAGCTGGATGTAACTCCATCCATGGGTCTAACTCTGGGCTTGGCCATTCAGACAGTTTTTTACCTAGTGAACAGCATGCTCCTTCATGCCATGGGAAGCCAATTTCTCCAGGAGAATTGTGAGAGACAGTGTCAAAGGCTTTACTAAAATAAAGTTAGACAACTTCCACAGCCTTTGCCTCACCAACTAAGTGGGTCACTTCTGATAGTTCTCTTTTGGAAGGTTTCTCCTTCCACTCCTTCTTGTAGATAGTTGTCAGATTTGATACCTTCCAGCAACTGGGACCTCTCTGGTTAGCCAGGACTAGTGTCTCAGACTTCTCCACAGACTTGGTATTTGCAGCAAATTTTCTCCAGGTGTATTTACACCAAGGAAACAGCCAAGGAGTCTAGAACACTGCAAATGAGGTGCAGCTTAGCTTTCTGTGTGTTTGAACCATGCTGAAATGAAAAGGATGGATGAACCAGTTCCCAGTGCTCCTGCCTGGCCGCGAGGACATACAAGGAGATACAGGAATTTGTGCACTGGGTGGATGGAAAGCACAGAGAGATATTAGATCCAGATCCATCCACATCTAGGCACTGACTCTAAACTGCATACAAGGAGAGATTTAGGTTGTTCAGAGGATGCTGGAAGAATGGAGAAATGCCCAGTGGGCATGCTGGGAAGGTCACTGTCCTCTGCAGGTGGTGGGACAGAGGAGTCAGTGGGACAGTTCATCTCCCCTCCCTGCAGGAGCCTGCAGGGATGCTGGCTGCAGTGCTCTGCTTCCCTCCTGCCCTAAAACCCTCTTCCCAGCTTGGAGGGGAGCACAGCCTTGGCAGAGTGGGATGTTGCAATGAAGTAACAGTCTCTGTTTTTAAAGAATGCTTTATTCACTACATCCTAGAAATGTACCATAAATGGAGCAAGAACTAAATAAATTCAGAGGCTTCTGACAATACAGAGAAGAGAGATACAATAAAATATCTAAAATATCAGCTCTTTTGAGAATAAGGCACACTAGCTTTGTTTTTTTTTATATATACTTTTTTTCTTAGAATAGTTTGTTCTTAACCTAAAGATGTTCACATTTCAAGTTAATAGACTTACCTCAGTAGTAGTGTACATGAAATGGTTTAAAAGTAAATGTCAAGACAGGCATGGGCAGGAGGCTCAGCATGACCTGGCTGCCTGCATGCCTGGGTCCTGCCTCCATCCCTGGGTACTGCCTGGGTACTGCCCTGGCATGGGCAGCATCCACCGTTTGCTAGGGACACCTCACGGTTTTCCCTCATTGGCTCCTTTCTCTTCCTGCCATCTCTGTGAGCAGCAGGTCCCTTGTCCTGTTGGCAGGGAGAGGATTAGTGGGAAGGGAGCCATCACCCTTCCCCTCTCCTCTGGGGGTCAGCCATGGCGTGGGGCTGGAAGGGCCAGCAGAGCCAGACCACTGGAGTGCCTTGTCCTGGCCCCAGGGCTGTTTGTGCATGGCCCAAGGACCCACGCTGGTGTTTAGTGTTGAGCCACGTAAGACCTTAGGCTGGAGGAGGCAGTGCTGGACTCTGGCCGGGGGCTTGGCCCTTGGGCTTTGCCCAGATCTCCTCCTCTCTCACCCTACACAAGGGCAGGACCTTGGGGCTGAGGTCTGGGTGTGCTTTCAGATGTGCAGGTACAGACAATAAAACTTTCCTGGGAAGGGGCGTGGAGGGGCAGAGTCCAACCTAATGGGTAACCTCACAGTGCTTTTGCGAATGGGTTGGCAGGGTCAAGGGGAGCTCAGATTGTCTGAGCAAGAGCACCTAAAATACAACTGCTCAATTTTGAGGCAAGCAAAAGCAGTGTATTAAAAAGGTCACTTAACTGAGCTCAATGTGGTCTGGAAGTGGTTCAGTTGTCAAAATATGGCCAATGTGAAACTCCTTTGGTATGTACTTACACCTCAAAAAGTAAAGGAATATTGTTTACTGACTCCCTGCTTCTCACCTTTTGTCACCAGACTTGTGTTTGTAGAGCTGATGCACTTCATACAAAGGGCAAGATATTTTTTACCATTTTACTCTATTTTACATTCACTGTACTACTAAATAAAAGCCTTTAAACAGGCCACAAAACACTGCAAGAATATATTTACTTCTTAATAAAACAAACTTTTTTATAACATTGCAATAAAAGGTTTTTGTTTTGTGGCAAACCACATACCATGTAAATTTGCAACATAAAATGACTTTAAAAATGTATATTAAAAGATATTTACAAGGTCTATGTCTTAAAATCATTGGGTCTAATCACTCCCAGCCCTGATGTGCATGTACAACTCCAGTTGTGGAGAAGGGGAATTAAGAGTGGAAGGGAAGCTGGGAGGGAGGCTAGTCCTGTTTCACTAATTCCAGTATCACTACCACCCCTAGTACCTTTGAAATTTCTCATGGAGCATGATGGAGCAATGAGTAAGTAATGCTGCACATCCTCTTGGCGAGAGCGTGGCTACTCTTGCTAACAGCAACACAAAGTGTTCTCAGTCACTACAACATATACTTCAAAGAATAAAATGAAGAGCATTGAGAAAAAGCCTTGGCTTTATACTGGATGAAGATCTAAGTCAAGACACCTCGCGTGAAATGTCAGCTACTCGTTTCTGTACGTGCTGCAACTACAAGTAGCTTCAATAAATAGAAAATCCAGTTGCTAAGGAAAACCTGGAGCCTTTCTTTAGCTAAAAACAAGCCTGCAAATCACACTGTGAAGAGGTATGTGTGAAGAGGCTTTTTTTCTTTTCTCTTTCTTCCAAACAGGCAATATTAGTTACTTATGATTTCAAATGAGAATGAGCAGATTGTATTAATGCCAGCAAAAAATGCAGAGGTCTTGCACATTTTTCAAATTGCACTTTCCAGTATAACTTTTAAATAAGATACTCGTTGTTTTCTTCTTAAAAAACAAAAAACAAAACAAAACACTAAGGTATGTATTTAAATATTGAATATACTCTTCAAAATATATTGTTAAAACTTTCCCTAGCTGCTCAGGTGTGCTTTTTAATATATAGCTGATATATTATTAAAGGCACTACAAAATAGACATCTCTGGAGTGCAGAAATTACTAAAAAAAACCTTCATACCACAAATATATTGAAAATATAACTGCTAAAAAAAAAAGACCCTGTGCAACCCTACTGCAGTGCATATAAATGCGTGTCAGTGGTGGGCTGGATGCACCGAGGTCCTTTGGAAATGTATGAATACAGGCATGTTAAATTTTTAAAAATAGCCTAAAAAAGTTAGTGAAAACTTCAAGCATAGAAAATATTTCAAACACGTTTTTCTATGACATTCTTCACTTTCTGCATTGTTTTACCAAGCCCAAACGTTTACTCTTTCGCAGACAGTTCTTTCTTCATAAATAGTAAAGTATTCCTTCAGTGTGTGTTTCTCCAGCACCCTCCTCTGCCGACAGTTTCAGTACGTCTGGTAGACGTCGTGGATGGGCACCTGGATGGCGGCGGCCGGGAATGCTGGCGGGATGTAGCCGGCGTACCCGCCGTAGGCCGCGGCGGCGGCAGCGTTCTTCTGTAGCGTGGCTATTGTCGCTGTGGCCGCCGCCGGCGCCGCAAAGGGCACGTAACTTGTCCCGTAAATGCCGGCGGCAGGGATCCGCTGCACGCTGGGAGTCATGGTGTACACCGGTGTGATGGGGCGGCCCTGGAAGGAAAGGGTTCAGACCTCACAAAAGGTGCTTTGTTGTGGCGCCCCGCTTCCATGCCCTGAATGGCAAACCCCCAGAAGGGAAGGGGGTAATGGAGGTGGTAGGCAGTGTGTGCCCTGTTGATTGAGAGTTATGCTGCCATGGGAGGCTGCTCCCCCCTCACAGCTTGGGTCCCCCACAGCGGGGAAAGCAACAGCCCAATGTGCAGATGTCTGACAGGTCAGATGGACTTCAGGGCTCTTGGGCACGGTGACATCCTCAAGAGCCTGTCCTGAATGGAACAGGGCAAGAGACCAGGCTTTCCCCCACCCTGGGTATGCATAGCAGGATGCATGGGAAGCAGGATTTCTGTGCTGAGCTCACCTGGAAGGGAGGAGGCGTTGACACAGCTGGTATTACAGCTGCGGCTGCGGCTGCTGCGGCAGCTGCTGCACTAGCTGGGTCCTGCTGGACAGCTATGGGGTTGATGATGTGCTCAACAGTGTGGATTTTGCCATCTTCCATCATCTTGGCTGGTGGTGCGGCCTGAAACATGGAGTACTGGGCACCAATGGCAGGGATGGCCACTAGGAGAGACCAGACATATCAGATACATTGGGAGAGAGTTTCCAGGACCTCTTGACTCTCCCTCCCAGCTGTGCCAACTCTCCAGCAGTGATCCTGGGCTGCTCTTATCAGGGGAGGTAGCCTTTTGTGCAGGCAGGGGAGCTGGGGCACCTCTTCCCTCCCATATATGGGAGCACCATAGCTGCTGCACAGTGCACAGGCTCAGTGCTGCTTGGTCCAGCATTTTCCCCCATGCTCCTGCTATGAGTATCCTAGGGCCAGAGTCCTCCTGGGGACTGGGAGCTGTGACCCAGATTTACACGACCCCTTCTGACCACTGCTGTCCTTCTCTCTGGCTGAGAGTGGCCTGAGCACAGGCAGTAAGAGTGTGTAATGTCCCAGTGAGTCCCTGCTCCAGCTGTTGACATCAAGGAATATGTAGCTGCCATAGGAAGAGCTGCTCCAGGACAGAAAGTTGTGGTTTCTACTGCAGAAATTACAGGCACCAATGGGTCTACTTTACATGCCATCCTTTGGCCAACCCTGTGAAAATATCAGCTCTTTTACCAGCATTTCCCAGGACTAGCTTGGCTAAATATGTTTTATCCCATCTGTCTACTACTGGAGTGCTGTGTCCAGTTCTGGAGCCCCCAATATAAGAAGGATGTGAACCTGTTGGAGCAGGTTCAGAAGATGTTAAACAAGATGGAGCACCTCTGCTGTTAAGTCAGACTGGGAGAGTTGGGGTTGTTTAGCCTGGAGAAAAGATGCCTCTGGGATAAAGACCTCTGCTGGAGCTTTTCAGTACTTAAAGGGGTCCTATAAGAAAGACTTTATGGTAAGGCCTGTAGTGATAGGACAAGGGGTAACAGAGTTAAACTGAAAAAGGGTTGGGCATAAGAAAGAAATACTCTATAATAAAGGCGATGAGACACTGGACTGGTTGTCCAGAGAAGTTTTGTGTGGCTCATTATTGGAAGTGTTCAAGTTCAGGTTGGATGGGCCTTTGAGCAACCTGATCTAGTTTAAGACATCTCTGCCCATGACAGGGGCATTGGATTAGACGATCTTTAAAGTCCCTTCCAATGGAAACCATTCTATGATGCTGTGATTTCCATCATTGCTTCATATTGCACACTTCAGCATTCAGCTTGTTAGCTTTTTAGCAATAAGGCTATTCACAAGGAAAACAAAGAAATCCATAAATAATGGGTGATGGACTAAGAGGTGTCACTGGCATTTATGGGAGGTGCAGCCACTAAGCCAGAATGAAGCCTAATACGTACACAGGTTTATTTCTGTGCAATGAAACTTTGCAATGTTATAGTGTGCAGTTATGCCTGGTGGAAGGAGGTGACAGAAAGCAGTACTCTTGCTCTTATCCTGGAGACTGCAGCAAGGAAGCTGATCAGATATCTTTCAGGCAGAAATGTGTTCTCCACCAGTGGACTACCACTGTTTCCTCAAGCAGACACTCCCAACACATAAGGTTTTCCAGTTCTCCTTTTACACAGAGTCCACCTGGTCAGGTCAAACCAGTTTTATCTCTAGTTTAAATATCCTGGATAATTTCTCACCAAGGCAAAGAGCTCACATGCTCCATTCTGCAATAACTTCTGGCAGAAAAATTGTAGCAGGCATCTGGGGTATTGGGGTGACCTCCCAGGAGTATTCCAACAATTTGCAAAGAAATGAGCTTTAAGGTTGGTCTAAACAGTAGGCAGGAAACTTTGCAGTCAGTACATTTCTACTCCTCTGTTCTGGTAACGTGCTTTCAAAGTCATACCCTCTTAATAACAGAGGTAACTCTTGCATGAGGTACCTCTTATTAGATCAGCTGATGTGACTGGGGAAAACAGACCAGGTGCTTCTGTGCTCAGAGGCTGTGCTGGAACCATACCACAGGGGAAGGTCTGATAAAAAACCCCTGAATCTCAACATGCTTCAAGTGTAGAAACACTTTGACTTGAGCTTCAAGCTTTTGTTTGGCAGACGAATGAAGTATAGACACCACTAATTAGCATGCATTTCCAAGCTCACATTTCAAGCATCCTTTAGTAATACCTGGAATTCCTAAAGTATCTTTGCAAACACACGTAGCAGTAATATTTTCTGGTGGTGAGTGGGTAGTTTTCCCAGGATCTTTCCTGATCTTTCTCCAACTCTAATCTTAACAGCCTTCCTTTGTCTCTAGACTTCTCATATTATCTCATCCAGCTGTTATGAGGAACTCTTCACAGACTTCATTAGATGCAAGCTGTAATTTTCACTGACATAAATGAAACATGTTTTGGGAAACCACAGTAGCTCTATTATTAAGCAATCTTGCCATTTACAGTTTACTTGGAAAGAAAAATGAAGGAGAAGACATCAGGACTTCAGGATGGGGTCCCCATCCCCTTTAAGGACCTTCTTCCTCAGGCTACTTTTCCAAATAAAAATCTTTCCAAAGAGGATCTTGAGGAATTGCAGAGCTTCAGCTTTCCTCTTGTTCACTTGGGAACGGCAAGGGCTGGGTTCTCAGCTGATAAAGCAGCAGAAGGGGGCAATCCCTGCCCCAGCCCTTGGACTGGCCCATCAGAGCCCAGCAGAGATGAGAGCACTCCTGTAGTCACTGCACACCTGCAAAGATGGACCCCGAGGGCTCCCTGCCTTGCTCCTTCCCCATGCCACTGATGGAGATGGAGGAGCTTGCCTCACCCAGGGACTTTCCTGCAATGGGAAAGCCCCAGATCCTTTTCTCAGCCTCATACCATTGGAGTAAGATGGACTAAACAGGGCAGGGCTCCAGCCTGGCTGGAAATCTAGGATAGGAATCTCCCGGGGTGAAATTAGCATTGAAGACCTTAAAAGAGAGGAAGATTGATCTTAGTCACCACATTCTGGTTCCCAGGACTAGAAGGAGAGGAAAGTCTGCTTCCTCATAAACAAATGCAAAAGGGGAGAGGAGGAGTGAGAGTTGCTTTAGTCCTTTTTACTTTACAGATATTTGTGTCCCCTATTAGTCCTTTTTACTTTGGTCTGAAGAACTCCCAAATATTTGTGTCCCCTATCCCGCTGTGTGCCTCTTGTGTGAAGAAAGTCTGGCCATGGCCAGGAGGCACTCAGCACAAGGGAACACTGAGCCCCAGCCCTGGGGCCACCCCCATTAGGGCAGCTGCAGTTGTGGAGTGGCCCTGGAGGGGTTCTCACATGCCTGAGACAGGGCTTGGAGTGGGGGCTGCCCTTTCCTCTTCTCCTTACACATACTAACCTGCACCAGGCTTAATGGCCACTGGATTGACTGCAGGCAACTCCAAGTTGGGAACCAGTTCAAATCCTTTCTCTTGCTGTTTTCCTTTGCCTTCATGGTACCTGCTGTAGATTCCACGGCCGGCGGAGTATCCCCCCAGGTAGGAGCCCCTGGGACCTGGAGCTCTGTTGCCAGCTGCACCTCGCCCTCTGCCTCGTATGCTGCCTGCTTATGATAACAACACAGAAGATGGTGAGTAATGGAGAGTGACAGCCCCATGGGGAGCACGAGTGACCCCAGGCTGAAACACGGAGGCTTGCACTCAGAAATGTGGCTGCTTAAGTCAGCATGGTTGAATCTCAGTGACCCTGCTTAGGAAAATAGAAGTGCCTAAGAAGCATCCAGTAAACCTGTGCTTGTTTAGCTTTTGATGTTTGTGAGCATATATTAACTGCTCATTTATAGTGGTGGAACTCTTGTGGCAAGTGTTACAGGTTCAATGCAGTCAGTAGAGAATGAGGGGATCCTCTGGCTGATTTCTGGGCATTAGGAACAGCTTCTGCTTTCAGATGTCCTCCAGAGGACACCAAACTTGTCAACTGGCTGCAATGGGACTCAGCCAAGATGGCACAGCATCACACCTGCCCTTTAATCAACTTTGTCCCATGACTGCATATATTTTCACTCACGTTGTTTAATTGTTTTCTCTGCTATTTTTTTAGGTGCATATAACCCATTTCCAATAATATTGCCTTTATTCATCTTAGTGACTCCACATCTGTTCTGACAGTACTTTGAACACTGCAGTATTGATGTACTTTATGATGATCTAATTGAATATTTAGACTGTTACTCAACTCTGTCATAGTTCATTGCAAGTACAAACCTGGAAATTGAGAAGAAGCTGACATTCTTGAATGACTACTCTTAAAAATACTTCTTGGTTTATGTGGGTGTTTTAAGAATATATTTATGCTAAATTGCTTCTTCTATGGAAATACACATCAAATGTCAGGAAACTCTAATTCCTGTAAGTACAGGATAATTGTAATTATAATACCAGTTATAGCTGTTAGAGTTTTTTTATGAATAAGTGATTTTTGGTTAATTTTTAATGACTGTAACCGATAACTAATTAAGGTATACATAATAAAATAATTATTTTTCACTCACGTGATTCCTTCTGCTTGTAGTTCTCAAATGACTTTATGAAGGACAGCATTGCTGTCATTTTAATGTGGAAGGTAAATGACACCTAGAGAGCTCCTAATTAAGGCTTTCCCTAACCTCCTTGCCTTTGGATAGGTCACCATACCCATGCCTCCAGAGAACTCTGTCATAGGATCCAGCTCTTTGAAAGGAGACATCAGACAATGGAAGACTTGCTCCTTAGACTTGCTCAGACTTAGTACATCACTCAAAAAACCCAGATCCATCTGTTTCCCATCTTGGTTTTTACCTCTTCTTAACCCTATATTTGATACCTCTCTCATACTATCTTGCACATTTGCAATTATTTATAGATAAATACACTTTGTGTAGTCATAAACTAAAGTAAGACCCAACAGAAATATGACATAAAGGCCTATACAAGAGTATTAAGAAAAAATTGCGTGGCACTAGCTGTCCTTTGGCTGAGGCAGACCTCTGGCATCAGCCTAAGATCAAACCTGCCCATCACATCCCCTAATTGTGCTTACTAACCTTTCACAAAGTAATCTCTGTTGGGCCCGATCAAGGCATTGTATGGATATCCATAGTATGCTAGTGTGTATGGATCACAAGAGTAAACATAGTTAGGTTGCTGCGTTGCTTCGGAGGTTGCTGCAGCCCCTCCTTTTGCTGCTTTCTGGTAGCGAGTGTATTGCTCCTTGTCTACCGGCTTGGCCAAGGTAACCTCCAGGCACGAGCCCTCTAGTTCAACACCATTAAGGTTGTTCATGGCATGAATGGCATCTTCCCTGGTTGTAAAGTGCACAAAGGCATAATCACGTATTTTTTTCACTCTCTCTACACAGCCAGGGTTAAACTGACCGAACACCTTTTTAATGGTGTCCTCTGTGGTCTCAATCATTAAATTCCTCACATATAAGATTTTAACAGTCTCCATGACATCTTCATCCACATCTATCTCTGGTTCTGCCCAGTCAACAGCAATTTGATGTCCCCACAGCTGGATCCTTCCTGGCATGAGTTTTCTCCTGGCCATGGCTGCTGCTCGATGGCTCTCATACTCCACAAAGGCAAAGCCTCTGTTCTTCATCTTGTCTGCAGCGCTGGCATACACGATGACATCCAGCACGCCTTCTGTCACCTTGGAAATCTCTTCCAGGATCTCCTCTCTCTTCTTCATCTTGGGAATGCCTCCGATGAAGAGCCGGCAGTTATCCACGCTGCAGCAGACACCCAGCAGCCTGCCGGGGCGGATTTCGTAGTTGTTCAGCTCCCTGACGGCGCGCTTCGCCTCGTGCTTCTGGGTGTACATCACGAAGGCGTAGCCACGGTTCTTCCCATCGAAGTCCATCATCAGGCGCATCTCGTAGATGCGGCCCACAGACTCGAAGACGGGGACGAGCTCATCCTCGTAGACGTCGCGGGGGATTTTGCCCACAAAGACTTCACAGCCCCGCGGAGGGTGCAGGCCCTCCCAGCCGGGAGGAGGCCCTCCGTACTTGCGCTGCCCGTTCTCCTGGATCATGCTGTATCCAGTGCGGGCCATGAGGGCCAGCAGAGCTGCCTCGTTGGGCGCACCAGCAACACCTTCGGGCACTTTGGTGGTGGCCACATTAGTGGAATCATTGCTCATCCTTGCAGTGGAATCCTCAGCGGTCATGGTGTCAAACTCATTCACAGCGTGATAAAACCTGGGCAAATGAAGAAGGAGGACACTCGTTAAAAGCTATTAGCTACCATGAGAATTTCACCTCTCTCTTTCATTTTCCTGTAGTTGTTCTGCAAGTTTGTTTTTCAAACTGGGACTAAGGCTGCAGAAAAACAGAGGAACAAGTGACACCAGCCTGAAGAGTGATACTGCAGGGACAGTGCACCCTGGACATAGGCAAAGTTCCTCTTTGAGGGAATGGTCGAGGATGACCTGCTCACACATCCCAGGCATCAAGAGCTGCTGTCACAGGACACCAAAGGCACGTGAATGGATGCCACCAAGTATCTCAAAATCTCAAGACCTCTTTGAAATGGTAAGAAGGAGATTACACAGAATTGGGAGAGAGAAGATACTGACAGGAAGACAGAGGTACCCTACAGAGCCTTCTCTTCCCTCTCAGTCACTCATCAATTAATCCATTTACTCCTGAACAGCACAAGCACCAGGTGCCATATTCCATGGCGAAAGGTGGCAAATGCATGAGAAGCACCAGACAGTTTCCATTTGATAACAACCTCTTGCTCCTCTAGACCTCTGCAGTAAGAGTCAAGTAGGAAATAATAAATACACTTTAGCAGTGGGGGTAGGGGACAATTCTTGTTCTTTTGTGCAAAGAGTGATCTGACAAGCTTCTGTGTTGCCTACTGCTTGTGTTACAATGTCTGATGTGTTTGTCTCTTCCATTATTGCAGCAGGACTTGACAAAAACTGAAGAGAATCACTCCTTTCTGAGAGGCTGTGCTTTAAACCAAGCACGGCACTGCAAGCCTGCAAGAGGAAGGCAAATCTCAGAAACCTTATTCTGCATTTGAACACAGGCAGAGAGCAGGAAATGTAGACATACAGGAAATGACCATGCTAACAGCCAAAACTGCAAGACAGCGAGCTTTCTTTCTGAGCACAATTAAATAAGACACCTTGGACTCTGAGAGTACTTAGTTCCTTGACTTTTAAAGCAGCAATGGTCCACCAGACAATTTAATACAAGTGATTGTATAGGACATGGACCATTAAATTTTAGTGTTATTTGCACATTAGGTGCTATAGCATTTATCTGAGTATATTGTATCTTCCACAAAGACCTTGGCTGTAAGGAATCAGAGAGCTGTGGACCACACATCCCCGTATGGCTTGTTTGCTAACCACTCCATCATACAAGTAAGTGTGCAATATTTCTCATGAGAATTTCTCTGGCTTTTGCTTCCAGACAGGATTAGATAGACTAAACAATCTTTCAAGACCTCTGCTGATGCCTTCTAGTGATATTTAAGTCACTTAATCACAACACAAGTCTGCCTTTTGAATAGAACTTGCAGGCTAAGCTCACAATTAGTCACTTTCACCTAGAATTATTGGGTTTTGGTCTTTTGACAGTTCTCTAGAGCTTCAGCCTTTTTCACTTTTGCTATATACAGGGATGAGGATCATCCCTCCTTCTTCTCCCCGTGTCTGTCTTGCCAAAGCCTGCTTCTTCACACCTTCTCACTAGTAAGTCCCATGGAGTTGGGTGGGGTTTTTTCAATTCTAACCTCAAATCCTCTATAGAAGCACCACGTGCTCTGGTTATGACTTGTGTTTACTACTCTGAATACCACAGCCTTGCATTCAGCCCTATCCCAACTGCATTTTGAATAGGTCCCACCTATTGAATGTTACACAATTGGCTCCTTCCATGGTGTTTTACAACTCCATCAGTCTTTCCTTCACTGATTTATTTGTCATGACTTGCATTCATCACCAGTCTGTTGATGGACCTGTCAAAATACACTCACCCTTGTAGGACACTGCAAGCCGCTGTAAGAAATGTTCCCAATATATGGATTTGACAGGGTTATTTTTTATTTTAAATAAAACAGGATGAAGCTTCAGAGAGATTTATTTATTCTATACAGTTTTCTTATTCAGTGAGACATAGGTTTCTCTCTGTCCCATAATTGCATTGGTGACCACCAAGGAAGATTTTTCATTAGTGCAGCAAGCCCAAGTTCACAAAAATACCAGCACAAATTTTAGGCACCAAAGTCTGATTTGTATGGTTCACAAAATCTATTAAAATCCTAGTAACCTCAGCACCTCAGATTGTTTTCAGTAAAGCTCTTGAGCTGTCCAGAATTGTGGTGGTCTATACACAGAGGTGCCTCTGCACAAGGCAGGGCAAACACTGTTGAGCCTGGTTCATCTCTTAAATGTATTTGGGATTGGGAAACCAGACCTCTGAGCTTTGGTCTGTGGTAGGACCTGATCCTGCACGTGTTTTTTGGCTATGAGTGTTGCATGCTGATGCTTCTGAGCCATTTTAATTTAAAAATATGGAGAGCAGAGGAGAAGATAAAGAAAGTGGAGGGCAGTAAAAGTGATGCTGATGCTCAGGCAATACTTTACTAAACACGATTCCTTTGAAGCCAGATCTGTCATGGATAGCTTCTTGAACTGTTGATACACATTTCTCTCAGATTCAAACATTACCCTTTAACGGTTATTTAACAGACACCCTTTAACAGACATTTTAATTTTATTCCTGGGAATGATTTGAAATAATTAAGAAACTTAAGACAGAGTAAAACAGCTTCATTTTTCACTTGACAGTTTGCTCCTAGAAGTGTAACTTCACCTTTCTTGGAATAAAAGCAAAGCTGGTTATACAAACACTTTGGTGGGAAATAATCATTACCTTTACATGAGCCACCTGTTGGCAAGTCAAGTACTTATCACCCCAAGTTTGGCTAAGTTTAAAAATTAGCAATTCCATTCAAACCACCTGTTTTAGGTCAACTTACAAAATAGGTCTCTATATCTCTGTTATCTGCAGGGCTCTGTGTCTGGGGCTATAGTCTGGAAAGCTACAGATGGCGACTGGGTTTGTGGAGTGAGGGGAGATGAAACAATTTCCCCTGACCCCCAGAAACCAGTTGGTAATTCAATGGCCATGCAGGTGATTGCATGTTCTCCAGCACTTTGCATTGCGCCAGCAAGATGATTTCTCATATTGCAAGTTGTACCTGAAGCTGCTTCTAAGTGCTGCTGGCCACCTTTGCTGCAGACACTGCCACACACCATTTGTGATAGTGCATCATTAAAAATTCTTTATGAACCGAAAATGCATTTATCCCTATGTAATTTGTTTTGAATCAAGATTCATGATCAAGTGTGGTTTGGGTTTTTTTTCCTGTGCAGCTACATACAATACTTACATAAGTAAGTACTATCTAAGAAAGTTATAGAGCCCATATAGCCCTAATTTTTGTAACTAAATACATACTTAACAACTTGTTCATTGTCATGTTACACAATCAACACCTTGACTAAGTTCATACAATTAACACCTTGATAAATGTTACCAGAACATTTATCATCAGTGATCACCTGTAGCTTGATGAGGAAATGCACAGCCTGTCTGGTCTGAGAGCTTTTCTCTTCTACTGCTACTGCCTTTCAAAATGGGCTACCAACACAATTTAACCCTTTTCAGACTGAAATGCAATCCCTCTCAAGAAAACATTTGAAAATACCAGTTTCCAAAGTGTTCAAATCTGCTGGCACATTTTTTAAGTCAACAATAAACTGGTCATGAAAACCAGCTACCCTGTGTTGTGGGTCTACACAAGGCACAGGCTGGTAATATGGGCCTAGTGGCCTTAATAAAGCCAAACTGATTTCCAGCATCCAATAAGTGAGATTAATGCTAGAAAAGGCAAAAATTTAATCTCCATTAAAATGCAGTGTCTTGTGAAATATAAGTGCTTGGTTTCTGGACTCTTAGGAGGAAGGCACACTTGATCTTGATAACATAGATTCAAAAAAAGAGAGACAGACATAAATATTTTTAACAAGAAAGGTTGTGTTTTGGAGACAGACAAGTTTTAAATTACTCACTATCAGGACTGAGGTGAGTCCTTTGCTTCTTTTTAGAAAAAGGTAAATCCTGCTTGATTGTTCACACCAGGTTAAATGGATGCTAACATCTGCTAGCCTACCAGGAGTGAGGCTTACCAGCCTCTCAAGAGTGAGGCATGAGTGAGCCCCTCAGTCCTCTGTTCCAAGGACTTCTTTGCACAGATGAACTAGCAGACTTACATGTTGCACTGAAACCATTCAAATTTCACTTCACCTTGCTTGTGAAACTCCTCTGCTGCCAGTAGGAAGAGTGTAAATAGTTGTTCCCCTAAACATTAATTACCTTCTCTTTAAAGGCACTTTTTTCCCACATCCCAGAATATTAAATGGCAAGCTTACTGCGTTGGCAGTGACTGGCCTAAAGCATACTGTGAGCAGGCTGATTAACTGAGGCAGGTATTTTATTAAGTAGAAATACCACACCTTGATCAACAACAATGCAGGGCCAAATGGTGATGTCCCTTGTCCCAGGGCAAAGGCAGCTTGGGGCCCCATTGAGAAAGCAATGCCCAAAGTCCACAAAGGAACTTATCCCTGGGTTAGTCCAGCACTGGGCAGTGCCCTGTGAAGTTAGGCAGGCATGTTCTCCTCTGTTGATCCTAGTGTGGTCAAACAGGCTTTTACAAACACAGGGACACAGCCAGTGTCCTTGTGGCAGTAACTGTGTGTCCACTTCACTCATGTGCTCCTATAAAATGAGGTTGTTTATGTCTGGACTTAATTCACGCCTCCAGTTTTGTGTTACATGGATTTAGTGGCATCATCTGTGGGTGACACAACTGCTGGCAGTCCCAAAGCCTAGGGACAGGTGCCAGCATCACCACAGGCAACAGGAGAGACCAGGGAGATGTGCTGTCTCTGTGATAACTGTCCAGGGGAGGGATGGGGACACCTGTGCCCCACCTGCAGACCCCGTACTGCACAAACTCCCACTGACAGGGTGTGTCCTCATGGACTCTGCACAGCTACTGCTCCCTTCAAGAAACTGCCACAGTTTTGCATTTTAAGCCACAGAGGGAAAGACAGTTGTTGAAATTTCAAATACACCCAGTTGACAGAGGAAAATAACAGCTACTGGTTTAAATG